AGCCAATAGGAATTGTCCAGGCTGTCTCTGCCCTGCTGAGCCCGCCAAAAGTCCCATTCTGCAAACGGTGCTGCACCAGTTGAGTAGTCCTCGACTTACGACCGGTTGGGGGTTGCGGCATTAAAAAGGTTGAGAACCCCTGCATTAGAGGGAAAGGAGTTCAAAACTCTTTAGCTTGGCCATGTCATTCCTACTATAATAAGTTCTTTCTGATGAATCTAAAGAGTTAAACCTATAACCCTCGACATGTTTCCTAGCAAAGAGGCTTCACTAAACCTAGAGAGACTCTTTTCTGAGAGGACATGTATGGGATTTCCATTTTTTGTTTTTTGAATTTATTTAGGAGATGTCACTGCTGGTTTTCTTTCAAGGTCAAATTTGAAACTTTTTTTTTTTTTTGGTAGACAAGCAAGATTGCTATTTGATTCCCGAAACGTTAGATGAAGTTTCATCTTCAGGACAGTTGAAATATCCTTGGGTGGTAGCTAGGCCTGAATTCTCTCTGTGACCTAGAAAATTGGTTACAGTTTGATAAGATGAACTACTTTCTTAGCTGGCTATTCATAAATTCTTTGGCGAGAAAGCAAGGAACAAACTTCCCACAGACAAAAGCCAATTTTAGTTAGCCTCCCTTGCTTTTCTTCCACTTTTTCCACTAGACTTTTTTTTTTAAAAAATGACTATTTGGCCCAAATCTTCCCCAAGATATTATAACTAATAACAACAGATATTGGCAGGAGTGGAGGGAAGGAATGATGAGCTGGACGGCTAGCTGACATTTTGACTAATTGCTGCAATGTGTGAATGTATCAGAGCTCAAATAAATGCTCCTTCTCAGACCCTTACTTCCCCCCCCCTCCCATTGTTTAGCAAAAAAAACCCCAAAAAACAAGAACCTTGTGTCTATCTGAAAGTATCTTGAAATCTTTTTCTTCTAACTATATCACCATTATTGTCACAAATGTGCTTTTTCAAAAGGCAGCTGGACTTCGTTTTTCTTTGATGATTTTGCTTCTCATCCAAGCAGCTTTTGAACGGAAGAAGCTTCTTGGATGAGAAGTGAAACATCTTCAGGGAAAAACAAAGTCCAGCTGCCTTTTGAAAAAGCACCTTTGGGACAACCATGATCTGGATGACTGAGAATCTCCAGGACAGGGAAACATCTGAATGGGTAGCAGATGGACATCTGCCTACATTAAAACCCCGCTAGGATTATGGACTCGTTGGGCTAGTAGTTGGTCTCGCCATAAGCCAGTGGCAAGACAGGAAAAAGTTTTGTTTTGTTTCTTTTTTAAAAATCCCTTGATGCGTGGTGATGCAAAACTGTTTAGTTTTGAATCCTAATTCTTGCCCTTGTACAGTATCCAGAAATGCATAAGAGAGACTTTTTCTATATTTCTGAATGTTACACTTTTTACTCCTTGCCTGCTTCCTAAATATAATATCTAAATGTCTTAAAAGATTGACTAAACGTGATGAAATCTCCTGGCACCAGCTGAGCATAAAGCAGGAGGGAGGGTTGGCAGCCAGCAGACCCAAGGGTCAATTGTATTCATAGGAAAGAATAAATAGGAGACGTGGTTGACGCTTTCAAGCAGACGGAATATTTTGAGATTCGGGCTCGTTCAGATTCAGTCTCCTGCAATTGGTTGCAAATGTCCACCTTTGGTATTCTAAGACTGGAAGGTCCCACCCTGTCGGGGAAAGTTGGATTCACCGATTAATTTGTTCAAAAAGTAGAAACCAGTGATTGTCTGATGGACTCATCAGCATGTCTTAAGATACAGGACAGAAGGAGGCCAGATGTTCTCTTTGAGGAGGGGGGGGCTGGTTGCCCTTTGAGCTGCATTCTTTCCTTACAGATGTTTCATGACCCAAACTAGGTAACATCATCCGTGCTCCATCCATGCAGCATTTCTAGCAGTTCAAGTTTGATGGCTTATTCCTGTTGTCCTCATTGACACGGGTGAGGCAGGATGGGGGTGAGCGTTTAATGCTGAGCTGCAGTACAGGAGGATCAGTTTGGCCTTGAAGGAGACTTTGAGGACAAACCAGGAGACAATTGGGATCCTGAATTGCAGCTCAGTGACCAGTTGGCTGGACATTGGATGTAGAGTTCTGAGCTCTCTGCATGCTGAGGACAGCAACACCAAAGACATGTATTAGGCAGTACAAGGCTGCTTCAGAGGTTTGGGGATGACACTAGTGTCCACCTACCACATCCCCTTCGGGGCAACAATATTTTAACCATTGGTGATGTCTCAAACCCCTTTGTTTGAGATGCTATCTAACAAAATGAAATTCAATGGTGAAAAAAGTAGGGTTCTACATTTAGACAAGAAAAACCAAATGCACAGGTATAGTATAGGGGGTACCTTGCTCAATAGTAGCAACTGTGAGAGGGATCTTGGAGTCCTAGTGGACAGTCACTTAGATATGAACCAATCGTGTGCTGCAGCTGCCAAAAAAGCCAACACAATGCTAGGCTGCATTAACAGAGGGATAGAATCAAGATCACATGAAGTGTTAATAACACTTTACAATGCCTTGGTAAGGCCACACTTGGAATACTGCATCCGGTTTTGGTCATCACGATGTAAAAAAGATGTTGAGACTCTAGAAAGAGTACAGAGAAGAGCAACAAAGATGATTAGGGGATTGGAGGCTAAAACATATAAGGAACGGTTGCTGGAATTGGGTAAGTCTAGTTTAATGAAGAGAAGGACGAGGGGGGACAGGATAGCAGTGTCCCAATATCTCAGGGGCTGCCACAAAGAAGAGGGGGTCAAGCTATTTTCCAATGCACCTGAAGGCAGGACAAGAAGCAACAGATGGAAACTAACCAAAGAGAAGCAACCTAGAACTAAGGAGAAACTTCCTGACAGTTAGAACTATCAATCAGTGGAACAACCTGCCTGCCAGAAGCTGTGAATTCTCCAACACTGGAAGAGACTGGACAGCCATTTGTCTGAAATGGTATAGGGTTTCCTGCCTGAGCAGGAGGTTGGACTAAATAAATAAGAGACCTATGATGGGTTGTTGTTCCAGTAAACCATTAATGGTAATAAGAAGCAAAACAAGATGGTAAGAAAAGGTGCAGATTGAAATCTTGATTTTAAGATGCCTCTTTTAGCAGGCTTCAGATGGAAGAGACCCAATTTCCATCTGAACGCCTCTTCACAGAAGTGTCAGGCAAGCCCGTTAATTTACATGAATTTGCCATCAATTGCAGCTATTTTCATTTGCATAATGGCATTCGATGGATGACACCAATGGATCCAAATGACATAAATCACCACCAACACTTTGTAATGTAATAAACATTTGGCAGTAATGGAATCTTTTCTCTCCCCAACTGGTCCATTAAGAAGGTTTCACTCCACTGAAATTGAAGTGAAAAGAGAAATAGCGCGAATGTTATTATATCCTTTGAAAATGCTCCCTGTTATTTGTTTTTTAAAGAGATGGGGAAATGTGCTAAATTCTATCAGGATGGTTTTCTCAAATCATGTAGGGCCCTCCAAATGTCTTTGGAGTGAACCTCATCAATCTAAATCAGGGTCTATATAAAGCTATGAAGACAGCACCATCTGGAGGTCTGCTACCCATTCAGATGTTTCCCTGTCCACGTTCAATGGAACAGTAGCGTAGCAATGTTCATCTTCTAGTGTCTGAGATATTTTGACAGCTGGTTTTCCTACCTGCTTCTACCACGACAGTCAGTGACCAAAAGAAGAGAGAACTTCTTCTCTCTTGAAGAACACTAAGTTGCCTTTGCTTGAGTTTTTATATTGCCAAGATCATTACATTTGAAGTTCTCAAGTTTAATAACACAGCACAAAAAATCTATATGCAGAATTATGTGCCACAAACAACAATGCCTCTTTTAAAAAAACACCCCATTTTGATTTTCACACAGCTTAAACAATTTGTTTGTTATTTTTATGTGAATGCATACATTAAGATTTTAGGTCAGGTTATGAATGCGAGAAATGTAATACACACATACGGCACTAGTGGAATATGCAGAAAAAAAGAATCAGAAGCCTCTGAGGGCCCAATTCCCCTATTCCTGGGGCAGGGGTAGGCAACCTTGGCTCTTTTATGACTCGTGGACTTCAACTCCCAGAATTCCTGAACCAGCCATGCTGAGGGGAAAGGTTTCCAAGCTGAGCCAAGAGTTGGACACAACTCTTGGCTCAGCTTGGAGTTTCCAAGCTGAGCCATGCCGGCTCAGGAATTCTGGGAGTTGAAGTCCACGAGTCATAAGAGAGCCAAGGTTGCCTACTCCTGCCCTAGGGCTATCAGGGTTAAACATTTGAGGCAGACATCCACAGTTCACTACATAAAATAAGCAAGAGGATCTGAAAGTAACAGTCTGGACTTATCCCAACCTGGGTTTCTCCTGACTGGTGGCAGGAAGTTGTTTTCATTAGCATAATTTCAGGCTTTAAAGAGTCCCATGTCTGGAAGTCAAGGCTTCCAAACATAGTTGACATCATTTGGAGGGTGGGGTAGAAGAATTTACATATTTTCCCTCTGACTTCCAGCAACCTAATAACTTACAGATCGAAAATATGATGATGATGATGTTATCCATTCAGTTGTGCCAACTCTTGGCGATTCTTTTTTTTTAATTTTTAATTTTTTAAACCAACAAAACAAAACACAACACACGTACACACACAGTGTATACGCCTCCTTTTTTTTAACAGCGATTTCGTAACGGTAATCTTCTATTATTTACATTTCCCCCCCCTTATTCTTCTTTAGAATATTTGTCCTTGTTGCCCCGTTATTTCTTATTTGCATTTTTCTTCCTTCATACTATACTTCATACTAAGAACAATACATATTATTATTACTATACATTATTATACACACATTTTCCACTTTTGACCTTTCCACATTTATTCTCCTCTATTATTTCTAGTCTCCCACCAGTCATACCACTTGTTCCATATTAGATAGTACTCTGTGTCTTCCTTTTCTTTTATCTCTTTTGTTAATTTGTCCATCTCAGCACAGTCCAGGATTTTTCTTATCACTTCTTCCTCTGATCGTATATTCTCATTTTTCCAGAACTGTGCGTATGCTATTCTTGCTTCTTGGCAATTCTATGGGCCAGATCTCTCCATGTCTTCTGATCTGTACTGTTTCCTTGAGTTATTCTATGCTCTGGCTAGTGTCAGTTTTGATAGTGTCCAGCCACCATGTTCTTTGGTGGCCAGGTGTCCTTTTATTGCTAACTTTTTCCAAACATCATTGCTTTTTCCAGTGCATTCCCCCGTAAATTGAAAATTATATTGAAAATATATTGTTACATTATTAGCATCATTTTCAGTAATCATGGCCAAAAGGAACTGTCCCTGGGTCTGCAGGGAATCTACCTGTGCTCACTGTATCTCCTCCCCCCCTGCAAATCCTTTTAAGATGGGTGGTGTAACAAACTGTCATCCATCCTCACAAGCTCTGAAGTTCACATACTTACAACCATTTGTATAGTGACGGTTCAAAGTTACAACAGCACTGAAAAAAGAGACGTACAACAGGTATGTATAACCATTGCAGCATCCCTTCGGTCACAGGGTCAAAATTCAGGAACTTGGGAGTAGGCATATATTTACAAGGGTTGCAGAATCCCGGGGGTCATGTGATCACTCTTTGCAATCTTCCCACAAACAAAGTCAATGGAGGAAGCCAGATTTCCTTAATGACCATGATTCCCTTGACTGCGGTTATTCTGGTCCCAATTGGTGATCCTAATTATGTCAAGGTCTACCTGTATTCACTCAGTGCAGCTCACTCTGCCCATCTTCCAAGGTTGGTTCTTTTCATTTGGTGGCTGACTTAATTTTGTGGATGGCATATGGGCTGGATTCCTTGGGGATCCAAATCTCGTCTCCCATGTGGCCTCTTTCATCAGCTGCCCCCTCCAAGGCCGCAGTCAGTTCCGACCCAAAGATGTTGGTGTTCCGGTAATTGGAGGTAAGATGGCCGAAAGAGGACTCTGAAGAGCTTTCCTCCCGATTTTCTTCATCTTGGTCATCCTGCAACTTGGTTGTCTCCAGCTGCAAGGAGTCAGTCACATCTGCCTTTTTGAAGGCCTCCTTGAGGTCACGCAAGAAGGTTGTCTTGGGGGCAAAGAAGAGGAGGAGAAGCACCAACCCTCCAGATACCCCACATAGGAAATAAAAGCCCACCTTTTCAGGAACACCTGCAAAGAGAGATGATGTTCAATATAGTTAGTCTGAATTCAGAAAACCGCTATAAGCCAGGGCTTGTTCAACCCTTGTTTATTGAACCCATCACAGTTCCCTGGAATGTTCAGTGTTTGTCCAGGTAGAGGACCATATTTGGCTTTGTAGTAGCTTCCTGGGTCCTACAATCCAAAAAGTAACTGATGAGGCCAGGAGAAAAAAATAAATTTAATTTCTCTTAAGTTGAATGAAAAATAAATATAACTAGCCTGTTTCTTCTCTACTATGTTCAACCAACAGAGTGTGCCTTTGCACGTGATATACACCACATCCTCTAATCCCTGAATCCTGAAGATGAAAAGTTAAATAGTTTTCTGGTCACACGGCTGGATATAAATTTGCCCTAAATTCTCAATGGTGGGAGAGAAATGAAAAAGAGTCACAGGGCTAGTGGAATCCCAAAGGGTTATGAAAATCTATACTACTAAAATACCTGTGTCTGTAACCTTTAAGTAGGCCAAATGGTGCATGATAGCACAAAACCTTTTTTGCAATTAAAGCACCTTAAATTGGCTAACCTACAAAATACATCCAAAATCCAGGATCCCCCTGACTCCCATGGAATTGAAATTTGGCAAATTTTATAAAATGCTTTCCAACATAAAATTATCATACAGCATGTTATAACCGAATACAAAACATCACGAAACATTTCTTGGGGACAGCTGCTGATGTCTGATTGTGCTATATAGTTCAACGTGTGTTACTTTCAAGGCAGAATTTGAATTTCTCCCAACATTTTGAAGAACTCTTCAAGTACATTGGAATCTCTGCCATGCTAGAAGGCATGGCGGGATCTGGTTACAGGTTGTGTCGTATGGGATGAAATTCTGTTGTCACCTCATGAACTCCTGTAGGGTCACGAATGATCACACGTACCCCAAATATGGGCTATTGTTTCCAGAGAGTTAGTAAATATCATCAGATTTTCTTGGAACTGCTTGGACAGCCTCGGCCCGGTGTACCAGCCACCTGTAGCAAATAAGGGATAGGATGGTCTTACTAAGGATGCCTCTGGTAGTAAGAGAAGAACGTTCCTTTTCTTAGTCTAGATCACTTAAGGGACAAGCACAAACTCACTGGCTCATGCATCTTTCGAAGGCCACACCTGCCAGATAGGAGATGGGTGACCTTTTGACTAATAAAACTTATATCTTCTTCTGTGCCACTGGTTTCAATGGTTTCAATGGCCAAGGGCTCCAGAGGGAGGAGAAATGACATCAGACAAGGAAGTGGGAGTATCTCACTGATGAGATCATCAGGCCAATAGCATCACTGATGCAGTTTTCATGATGATGTTCTGTTGATATGATCTCATAGGAAGTTTTCCAGATGAATGTGGCCAGTAATATCCACCTTTGGTCAGGTAGAAGGTATGAGAAGGACCATGTTTCCAAAGTGCACAGGGAGGGAGCAAGGAAAGTTTAAGGCAGCCATTTTGCGTCTCTACCCATACCATCCCAACGTTCTAAACTGTGCAAAAATGGAAGATATATTTATGACTCCATTCCCACAGACTGACTGCAGGCAAGACACTCCACTGTGACCTCAGGCAAGACACTCCGCTGTGTCTGCTCACAGTTATAACAGCCCCATTGGCACAATATGCTTCAGCTGGTTACCAGATTAATGCATTTCCGGCTTGCCACACTGCATTGAACCGAATAGCCTGCGATGTACAACATGCTATGCTGTCAAGAACAAAAGAGCCAAACAACCCTTGAACCAAGCTTATTATGTGGTGGGAATTCACAGTCGTTTCATTTCTCATCAGAAGCCAGCAGGAAATTATCTTGCTATTATTTGGCAATGTGCCTCCATGTTCCAGCAGCAAAATCCTGGGAAGGGATTATGTTCTAATAGAAAGGAATTATGTCAGTCCTACAGGCTGCTACAGGTTTATTATCTGCAGAAATACAACAGGTTTCTTGAGGGAATGCAGTTTTCCCTTGGGGAGCCCAGCTGAAATCTCATGCCATGGGGAAATCAGAAAAGAGCCACCGAGGGGAGAGCAGAATCCACTGGGATCTCTGTTCTCTTCAGGTCAGAGGTGCCCAGTGCAGCTGAGGTGAAAGAGATGCCGGATTCAAAAGCTGGAGAGTGGATTTCACGGATGGAGAACACTTGCTCGCATTTCTCAGGCACTTCCTGCTACCACTGAGGAAGGCTCCCTTCCATCGCGCAGACTAAAGGTGGAGAATACGAGATCCTTCAGAGCTTCTGAGCTACCGATCCCAGGATTTCTCACCCTGGTTCAATCCAGCTGGTGTTGAGAGATATATCATGGCAACATCTGGAGGACATCAAGGGTTCTTAGGAAGCATCTTCCTTCCTTTCCTTGGGCTGACTTTCCAGCTTTTTCTCTAGGGCATGTTTGGCCCAACTGGCACCCTTCTCACCAGGCTAGAAATTTGGGTCCCAGAATTCCCAAACAAAAGGCACCCCTTTGGGAAAACCATTCCAAGGGCACCCACCCTTTCTACAGTGACTTTCTATTTTGGATGCAAAATGGTCTGTGAAAATTTGGCCTGCTACCTGAACATAATCTGAGGGAACCTATGGAAAAATGTAGCAAGAACATCATCCCTCCACTTGATCCTGTTCATGTTTCCAGCCTGTGATTGGCGGGCTTCAATCAAAGATTTTTTTTTTGGTCTTTCCTTTAATGTTCTATTTTTCATATCCAAGTCTTGTTTTGCCTTGGGTGGCTACTAACCAGGTTCAGTCCTTATGGAACTATTTCTTGGACAGGAGAAAGTTACGTTCTTGTAGCAAACTCTGGAGTTTCATCTAACACTGCTGTTCTATTCTTTAGCAGACACATCGTGGCTTCTGGTTTCTTTGCACCCATTCCTGGCCTTCACAAGTTCAAGGACGGTCACCTCTACACCATGTGATGCAGGAGAAGATTGTTCCAAAGGTATTCTTTCAAAAGGCAGCTGGACTATCTTGTTTGTTTGTTTTTCTTTGAAAATGTTCCTCTTCTCAGTCAAGAAGCTTCTTCAGTTTAGTTCTTGGATGAGAAGTGAAACATTTTCACAGGGAAAAAAAACACCAAGACGGTCCAGTTGCCTTTTGGAAAAGCACCATGGGACAACCTTGACCTGGATGAATGAATGAATGAATGAATGAATGAATGAATCTCCATAGGAGAAGGTTGTCGGGAGGCGGCTTTTCCCAGATACTTCTCCATCCAGAGAAGTACTGTGGATTAAAATCAAGGCGGGATAATTACCGTGGGTGTAATCTGAGATTGAGAAGGGATCTTCCTGTGATTCACGTGTCGCCTCTTCTAGCAACTGCCTTGGCACTGAAAGACAACACACAGAACTGCAGGTGATGGGAAAAGCAAACAAAAGCTTGTCTAAAAGTTATTTTTCCCAGGGGCAAAGTTAACATACACAAAAAATAGACTTTCTGAAAAGAAGCGATTGGTTATACTAGCACTAAGAGAGAGCTGGACGTCACTAAATACTTACTTAGCCCTGGGGGATGAGTATGATTCCACTCTTAGGAGGAAAAGTATCGGGCCATATAAGCTGTGGCTTTGATTTGACAAGGATTTTTTTTTTCCAGATAAAAGTAGTCCTTGACTTACGACCACAATTGACCCCAACATTTCTCTTGCTAAGCGAGACAGCTGTTAAGTGAGCTTTGCCCCATTTTTACAACCTTTCTTGTCACAGTTATTAAGTGAATCACGGCAGTTGTTAAGTAAGCAACATGGTTTGGATTCCCCCATTGACTTATTTATTTATTTATTTATTTTATGAGACTTATATACCGCTTTAAGTGCAAGCATTCTCTAAGCGGTGTACACCAGTAAGCAATGTATATATATATTTACATTGCCCCCAACAATCTGGGTCCTCATTTTACCTACCCCGGAAGGATGGAAGGCTGAGTCAACCTTGAGCCGGTGAGATTTGAACCGCTGACCTGCTGAACACAGTCAGCTAAAGTGGCCTGCAGTACTGCACTCTAACTGCTGCGCCACCTCGGCTCATTTCATATTCATTGTCAGGTCGCAAAAGGGAACCGCCTAACCCTCATGCGAGCCGTCATAAATATGCATGAGTGGCCAAGCATCCAAATTTTGATCACAGGACCATGGGGATGCTGCAAGAGTTGTGAAAAAACAGTCCTAAGTCACTTTTTACACTGTCGTTGTAATTTGTGCAGGGTTGCTAAATGAATGATTATAAGTCAAGGGCTACTTGTATACCAAAGCTCTAAACATGTCTAACTTGGAATGGAGAACTGATCACTTAGCTTGTTTGTCGCTTGTCCTTCCCACCCCAAATATCAGCAGGTGAATTTGTTGTTCTGCTTACCACAAGTGTAGGACACTCTCAATTGTTTCTTCACCCCTGGGAAACACGGATCTCCAAATGTAGCCGTGTTAGCAACAATGGTGCAATTCCTCTTCTTGTGGCACCTCTGGGAAACTCTTCTCAAGGCATCCGGAGCTGTGCATTCTACAAATCACACACATACACAACGCAGTCAGTCCTGTTGGGAGTGGAGAAATGGCAGATTCTGGAGATTTGCTCAATTGTGGACTTTCCAAACACTTTCCCAAAGACTGACTGTCTACCAGAGTCAGTCTCAAATGGGCGATCACAAGTTTTGTTAGAGTTGAGGCACCATATTCTCTCAGATATGTATTCGATAGTCACCAGCTTGGTGTAAAGTTGGAGATGGCTTTCATTCATCGTTTACAAAATGCAGGCATGGCGTGAGTGAATCATCTTGTTCAGATTCTCAAAGCAAACAAAGCTGTTCATCAAGAGATGTTCCAGATGTTTTGCTCAGGCGATGCTCAGGAGATCCTAGAGTTAAAATATTTGGAAGGACCAGTTCATCACATTTGGTGCCCTAGAGATGGGTCGTTCAAGTTTTTTCAGGCCATGAAGCTATTAGCTTTTAAAAAAATAAAAAACCAGAATCCACAAAATGTCAAGTGTGGGTTTATTTTATTTTTATTTCTGAAGGAGAACAAATCCACCCTTTTTAACAATGGATGTCCTACATGCATTTTTCTCCTTTTTGTCTTTCGTCTCTCTGGAAACCCTGCAGAATTATTTGAATAAAACCCTGCTGTAGAAAGCATTCCTGGAAAGAGCCCAAGCTCCTTCAGTGTTAGTCTCACCACACAACAGTGTCATCGTGAAGTGTATTCTTTTTGACCTCAACATCTCACTTGCCCAACTTTCAACTGAAATAAGCCATAAAGGGAGAATAGAGTTGGCTACACGGAGAGCAAATTTCATGCCAATGTTGGTTTCTGCTGGATGGAGAATCAATACTCTAACCAGGGAAAGGGCCAGAACTGAGCAGGCAATCAACAGGCAACAAAAGGAGTTGCAAAACAAGGGCACAAGAGATTGGCATCAGCCCTTGCTAGAGTGTGCCTCTTGGCAGTTGCCAGCAATACTAATTGTTGACTTTTGTGTCCAGTAATGAAGCCCCAGCTCAGAACTAGCTACATCCATAGATAAGTAAATTATTTGTTTGTTTGTTTATTGCATTTGTTTGCACCCTATCTTGCCACGGGGCTACTTTAGGTGGCTTACAATAATAAAAAGGAAGAAAAATGAAAGGAGTATAAACAGGAGTACAATAATAGAACAATAAAATAAACTATAACAAAAGAACACAATTAGAATAAATACATCGATATGATAATCAGGAAGATGGATGGGTGGTGAGCAGAAAGCAAGGGAGAGGATAGGTGGAATCTGCCATCAATCCATGTTAGAAATTCTGTTTATATATAGCACCACAGATCAAACAAAGTGTACAGTCACCATGTGCTTTACTGCTTAACTGTTTTTCTGTAACGGGAAACAGAAAACAAAAGAACATAGAGTATATACCATAGATCCAAAATTGTAAACACTGCCATCTCCTGACTGAATACGACTGTAGTTGTTGCACAAAAATACATTCTAACAATGAATTCCAACAATGCAGCAGCCACCTCCAGTGTGGAACTGCCCCATTTGGTCTTGCAGAAGGGTAGAAGAGATATCCAAGAGGGGAGATGAACCAGAGTTGTGTGTCTGAAGGAGGTGATACTTCAAGGGATCTCTTTCCCTCTCCAAGCCTCAGAAGGCCTCCTTAGCATTTCAAAAGGCTGGCACCCATCACAACTGGCTCAGCAACAACAAAGTTTCCCTCATCTCCACTTCAACTCAAAAGGAAAAAAAAATGAAAAGGAGGAGGAAAAACAGTAGTGTGGCATTTTACACACCGCCCTAGGATCAATGATAGAACTCTGATCAATTTCAGCTTTCTTTGCTTGGACTGGGCTGCTTAAAGGAAGCAACAAAACCAACCAACCACCCTTCCCCTTTCAGGACCTGGGAGATTGTCAGAGGATTTGGTGCATTGGGGAAAGATCTCCAACCAGTCGCCATGATGGAAATACAGAGGTCCTGAGCAAACTTCCAGCTGGCACCAGATCCTGATGTGGAAGGACCCACAGACTCACCAAGTGCAGAAAATGCTTAGGATTGTCTTAGCAGATGCTGACCTATTTCAGGCTCTGTCCCGTTCATAGAATTACACTCCAACTTTCCTCGCAAAGGTCGTCCATAGACCGAAGAATAAATAGCTAGAACTGAGTTACTCCGACACTGTAGCCTCATCTTGTCATTTTCACATACAGTCTTGAGACGAAAATTGGCTGGAAATGAAAAACAGTCATTCCTCATAGTCTTGATTCCCCTCCTTGCTCCGAAATATTTTACAATCCCTTTTCCTTTTATGAAGGCCATGTTTGAGATAAGGGACTATCAGAACAGGTTATCAGAGGTACAGGATAGATTAATATTTTACTCTAAATAAGGGAGAGTAATGGAAGAAGAAACAAATAAGATTTTGATAAAATTAAGAAAGTAGAACATATGTGGAAGGGATATTTGAATTGAAAATGTTTTTATTTAAAGTTAATTTGATTATGGTAGAAATTGATGAAGCTTAAAAACAGGTTCAGGTTGAATAAATTTAAGCTAGAATTGGATATTCTAAATATATTATGCTATTTGAGGGGAAAAGAGAGGGAATATTTGACGTATTGATTATATTATGTATATATGTCTTGTTTTTTTTAAAAAAAATTTTTTATTCATAATACAATTAAAACAACAATGGACAAACATGACATTCCATCTGCAAAGGCTTGTATTTTAAATGTCTCTTTCTTGATTTCTAGACCTTGGATCTGTTCATCTTGCCGGATTGCTCTAGTTAATACCTCAAGAGATAATATATGTCTTGTTTTAAGATGTTTGATTACCCCAACACCACGGTGTGTCTTGAATATGTTGCTTTAAGAATTTTAAAAAACCAATAAAATTTGTTTGTTTTTTTTTAAAAAAGAACAGGTTATCAGAACAACATGCTAAAACCTGAAAAGGAATTCTTTTGAGCTGATATCAACTCTTAAAGGTTGTAAGTGCTGGATAATGTTTTGCGTAGACCCGGACAACTGTGTTTTATGCAATAATTCAATGACCAGAGTTAGTCAAACTACAATTAAGTATGATTTAGCCCCAGAGATTTTAATCAACAGTTATATGTGTTTCCAGATAAAGCTTCAAAATTTGCTTTCTCAAATTCAACAGGTGTTTAGATAAGCCTTTTTTCTCTCTCTCTCTCTTCCATTGAATTGTGTCCAGTTCTTGCAGACTGTCTGGATAAGTGAGTTTTCTTGGCAAGATTTTTTCAGAAATGGTTGGGCATTACCTCAACTAGGGCTGAAAAAGAGGGACTGCCCCAAGGTCACCCAGCTGTCTTTGTGCCTAAAGTAGGACTAGAACTCACACTCTCCTGGTTTTTAGACTAATGCCTTAACCACCATACCAGACTGGCTCTCTCAGATTAACTTAGTGGGATGCTAGCCGTGCCACTTCTTGTTATGTGAACAAATGGTCTGTTGAGGAATTTCTGAAGAATCATAGAGTGGATCCAATTATCCAGCCTTCCTCTGAGAAGTCTCTTATCTGCATCACCAGCTTTCACCCTTTCCCCAAAGCCCTCCAGATAGATTAAACTTTTGGCCTCTACTAATGATGTTATAGCAGCTTTGGAGAACCCCTTGCAATTCTCCGGAAGGGTAGAGCTACAAGTTTTCTCCTTTTCCACATTAATGCCTTGCTGAAGTCACTCACCAGGTCTGCATTTGTAGGAAACCACCAAGTATTTGTGTGTTCCTGGGCACGGATCAGGCCCGAACACTCGGCTGTGGACAAGGAAATGGCACCATCGGTGGTCCTGGCACTCATCCATCATTTTCTGGTGGAAAAGGAAATGTGTTAAGTGTAGCCATATCTAATTTAGAAAGACCACATCTATTCCATAGAAGTGCATAGGTTCTCTACAACCCACCATTGAAAAAATAAATGTACCACAAGTGCTTGATCAGGGGGCTGGACTAGAAGACCTCCAAGGTCTCTTCCAGCTCTACTCTACTCTACTCTACTCTTCTATTCTACTCTACTCTACTCTACTCTTCTATTCTATTCTATTCTATTCTATTCTATTCTATTCTATTCTATTCTATTCTATTCTATTCTATTCTATTCTATTCTCTCTCCTCTCTATTCTGTTCTGTTCTGTTCTGTTCTGTTCTCTCTCCTCTCTATTCTATTCTATTCTGTTCTGTTCTGTTCTGTAATGTTCTGTTCTGTTCTATTCTGTATTCTATTCTATTCTATTCTATTCTGTTCTGTTCTGTTCTATTCTATTCTATTCTCTCTCCTCTCTATTCTATTCTGTTCTGTTGTGTTCTATTCTATTCTATTCTATTCTCTCTCCTCTCTGTTCTATTCTATTCTATTCTATTCTATTCTATTCTATTCTATTCTATTCTATTCTATTCTATTCTTTTTATATACTTGTAACCACTGCAGAATCCCTACGGTCACACAGTCAACATTCAGGTGCTTGTTCTTTGGTGGCCTGGTTTCCTCTTATGCCCTAAGTCTAGTTTGGCTCTTTGTGGTAAAAGCAGGAAAACACTTTGCCCTCACATTCCCAGGTCTTTCCCAAGCCATCTCCAGGAGAAGTCTCAACACCAGCCAAGCCTTTGGGCAGCTCCCAAGTGCATCGCTTTGCTAGCCACTAGATGGCAGCCTGCCTTTCCCCAAACCTTCTGGGGGGGGGGGGTTCTGTTCTTGGCTCAGACAACTCAACAATCCAACTAGGATTGTTATGCCCTTGCTGTGGCACTTAAGAGATTGGTAATCAAAAAGGGATCTCCAGCACTGGCTGCCAGGGGTTTCATTTAGCTGAGATGCCCCATGTTGAGAAGGCTGACCCAGAAAAGCCCTCATTCTCTGTCGCTCTTCCTTTGCCCTCAAGGAAACCAATAGTCCTGCCTCCTAGAAGGCTTTCTTTTTCTGACGCTCCCTTCATTCTTGTTGATTGCTTTATTTGCTTAATGATTCCACATCATTAAAAAGGGGAAACAGCTTTTTAAAAAAGGATAGGAAGATGAGTTCTCTCTCTCTCTCTCTCTCTCTCTCTCTCTCTCTCTCTCTCTCTCTCTCTCTCCCTAGCATTTTCGCTTAATGCTGGGAAGAGAAAGGGTTCAGTTAACAATTGTAGTGTTAGTACCATTAAAGGAACTTTTTTTTAACTTTTTATTTTATTTTAGACCAACAAAACAAAACAAAGCACAACAAACATTACACACATACACACGTAATATATCCTTTTTTGTTAACAGCAATTTGTAACAGTACTCTTCTATTCTTTACATTTCCCCCCTCTTTCTTCTTTGAAATATTTGTCCTTATTGCCCCGTTGTTTCTTATTTACATTTCCTTTCTTTCATATTCTACTACTTACTAGGAATCCAACATTATTCATTACAGTAACACTCATATTTTTTATAAGACTTGACCGGAATTCCATCTAAGCATGGTGATCATACAAATATTCTCATATTATTTAGTGCATATACTGTTTTTACTCTAATACTATTTCCAACGTTAAAATTCACCCCTTTTCATCCAAGTATATTTATTTAATTTAATTTTTCTTTGGCATATATAATAATTTAAAGGAACTTTTTAATAGTATTTTGTTGGGAGCAGAGGTACCCCCATCTTGGAGAAGGCAGTCTTCTCTATCATTGATTCTGAAAGAGGATCTTACCCAGCCTAAGAATTATGGACCTATATCTCTTTTGAATACAGATTATAAGATTTTTTCGAAATTGTAGATTTTGATGTTAAAGAGATTAATTTGATGTTGAATCTTATAACAGCTGCAAGATTATTGGTGGGGCAATATTGGAAGAAAGACTCTTTGCCTACTATGGAAGAATGGATACTCAAGGTGTCTAATTTAGCAGAAATGGCAAAGATTTCCGCTTATTTGAAGGACTACTCACAAGAAAGATATATTTTGGTTTGGAGAAGATGGATAGATTATATTCAGAATAAATATGAGACTAAAAAGTATTATTTAGCTTATGAGTAAATTTCAGATATTACTCTTAGTTTTATGGTTTAACTATATTATTATTTTTGTATTTAATTTGTTAATATTTATTTTGAAAAGGAGTTAAAGCATGTTATAGATTTGACTGTTTGTATAGTTAGGTAATGTTAGTTAGATTATGATTGTTTATTTGTAACCCTGTAATCAGCTCTGGGAAGTGGGGTGGGAGGGGTGGGAGGGATTTGGGATATATATTGTATAAAATTTTAAAAACTTTTAATTAAAAAAAAACAATTGTAGTGTTTCTCTTAACAACTGCTCCCCCCCCCAAAAGGTCATAAAATGGGCACGACTCTCAACAAACTTTGAGCTCAATTGTGCTCATAAATCGAGGACTATCTGTACAAAAACAAAAATCCTCTTCTGCAATGTTAGAAGGTCTTACCTGATGGGCTGTTGCAGATGAGCAATCAACGTCCTCCCAAGAGATTTCTCCTGAGGCTGGACAGAGGTTTGGGCTGGGTACCCTTCGTCCATAAAAAGCAGAAAGTACGGCAATGGAGGTCTTGTGGGGGCAAAGTATTGTTAGTTGCTCCCCATCACAGGCATGGATTGTGTGGTTCTTCAAAACCTTCCTCAGATACCCTTGTGGAAGAAGAAGGTCACAGACGGCAGAAACCTTGAAAAACTTACTTGCACTTGACATTAGGCCAGGGGTCTCCAAGCTTGGGAACGTTAAGACTTGTGGACATCAGCTCCCAGAATTCCGCAGCTAGCCATGCTGGGTGGGAAATTCTGGGAACTGAAATCCAGAAGTCTTAAAGTTGCCAAGTTTGGGGGCCCCTGCATTAGACATGAGACATTACCCTCACATTGTATAGTCTAGAACGCAAATTCAGGAAGACTGATATTTAGGAAAATTGAGACAGTCTAGTCCAGACATGTCAAACACAAACACCATCCCTCTCAGAATGAGCTCACTTTCTTTTGATCGCCCCAGTTTTCCCTGCAGGAATAAGAGAAGTTTAAGAACTTTAGATGTTGTCATCTCTCATCTTCACCACAGTCAGCCAGAAGAAAGCAATGGGCAATGTTAAATCAGGACCCTCCTTCCTCCCAGTTTTAGCCCATCATCTCAGAAACTTACCTGAAAACTCAGGAGCTGCCTCCAGGAATGCTGGATAACAGGACAAGCTCACCACGGTTGCAACCAGCCAAAGCCAACCCATTAGCCAGGATCCAGGCATGGCACTGCATAGCCAGCCTTGATGTAGCCCAGTGCAATTTGCTGTTCTCTCTCATCTCCTTCTGCTGCTGGAACTAAACACTCCTATTGTCCATTAACAATGAGCTGGTTCTGTACGTGGCTGGCAGCGTGTGCATGCGTGTGTGTGTGCGTGCGTGCATGTTTGTGTGTGGCTAGCTAACTAAAAGAGATCCAGTAAACCTGTGCTGGCTTTAGACATCATCAGGCCCCAACTTAAAAACCAAAATAATGCTTTTTATTCCACTGATAGATGCACCTTTTCCTTGTCTGAGTTCATTATTTTACTTTATTTTTGTAAGAACCTTCTATAGACTCTAAGCCATTCAATTCGCAAAGTTGCTGAGTAGCATTGAAGTAATAATATGGGTTAAAAACAATAAACACCATAATTATAGTGGCAATATCCATTGGCAGTGCTACCCAACAGCAGCAGAGTGGTTTATATTTATAGAAGTGATGAATGCTCCAACATTGGACATTTTTAAGAAGAGACTGGACAACCATTTGTTTGAAATGATATAGGGTTTCCTGCCTGAGCAGGGGGTTGGACTAGATGGCTTCCAAGGTCCCTTCCAACTCTGTTATTCTATTCTATATTGTCCCAAATACTTTCCTGAACAGCTGTCTTCCCAACTCTTTGGAAGCCCAGCCAAAAAGGGGCAATCGAGGTGTCCGGGGGGAAAGCTATTCCACTGAAGAGACCATCACCAAGAAAATGCAGTTAGGTGATCACTGTAGATAGTGTTCTTTTAGTGTGGAGACCCTTCACAAGACCCTTGTCCAGTTTTTGTCAGACATGCAGATTCAATCCAGAGAAGGCATCTCAGGATGTCCAAGAACTGAGTAAGATTACTGGTGGCAAAGAGCTGGTTTGATTGCACCTGGAAGCTAACTGTCATCCAGTGCAGCTCCCCATAGTAAAAATCTACATTAGTGATCCATAGGAGTTTCGTGCTATTTTCTATATTGAAACTATTCAGAACTTTTCAGGCACTGCCTTCCCGCAACAGCAAGAATCCGAATGTATACGGGAGCCCCACACAACGCTTAAAATAGCAAAACCTCTTCCATAAAAAAAATCCAGAAATACTCAACACTACCAGCAAAATCCTATTTCATTCTAGCTTGGTAGCAAAAGCTCATTTAGCTGTTACCCAATTTCTTCCGACAACTGTTATTTTAATTAACTGTTTACCCTTCTTTTTCAGCAACAACATTTACCCAATTAATTAGATTATTCCTTTCCGCATTGTGGTAGCATCGCTCTTTGGGTTTTCCTGAGTTAAACCGTTTCTAATTCCCGATGGTGGCCCTTTGCTATTTCTAACTGTGCAGAGAAAAACCACGCCGTGGCTTTCCAGATGTTCCCGGAATATAATTCCCAAGATCCCTCACCATTGCTCAGGCTGCCTAAAGAGCTGAAAAGTGAAAATTCAGCAACATCTGAAAGCCAGAGACGCCTACAGTAGAGCATCCATTAATTCAATGTTTACATTGCTATTTAAACAGCTGTATTGTGCCATGAGCCTCCAAGACGTTAAGTTTAACACAGAGACTGCTTGCCAAGAAGGGAGAGATTTAAAGTGGAAGAACTCCACTGCAGCAAAACACACATTGTGTCAGTTCTTTAACAATGTGCAAAGCGACATAGAGTTTGAAAGCTCAGATTTGGTAGAAGACTGCAGCCAAGAAATTAAAAGACGCTTGCTCCTGGGGAGGAAAGCTATGGCAAATCTAGACAGCATACTAAAAAGCAGAGACATCACCCTGCCAACAAAAGTGTGTATAGTCAAGGCCATGGTTTCCCCAGTTGCAATGTATGGCTGTGAAAGTTGGACCGTAAGAAAGGCTGAGCGCCAAAGAATGGAGGCCTTTGAACTATGGTGCTGGAGAAGACTCCTGCCAGTCCCCTGGACTTCAACGTGATCAAACCAGTCAGTCCAAGAGGAGATCAACCCTGACTGCTCTTTAGAAGGCCAGATCCTGAAGTTGAAACTCAAATACTTTGGCCGTCTAATGAGAAGGAAGGACTCACTGGAGAAGGGCCTAATGCTGGGAAAGATGGAGGGCAAGAGAAGAAGGGGACGACAGAGAATGAGGTGGCTGGATGGAGTCACTGAAGCAGTAGGTGTGAGCTTAAATGGACTCCAGAAGATGGTAGAAGACAGGAAGACCTGGAGGAATGTTGTCCATGGGGTCACGATGGGTCGGACACGACTTCGCAACTAACAACAACAACAAAATTTGTACCCATTTTAAAAGGCATTCCTCTAGATCAGGGGTAGTCAACCTTGGCTCTTTTATGACTCGTGGACGTCAACTCCCAGAATTCCTGAGCCACTTGTGCTGGCTCAGGAATTCTGGGAGTTGACATCCACGAGTCATAAAAGAGCCAAAGTTGACTACCCCTGCTCTAGATGCTTTGGCTAACCAATGCTTCTGACTGCGATGCTTTTAAAAGGTGAAGTTTTCAGCAGCAAATAAATACACAGCAGATTGCACCAACGCAGTCGAGTTGAAGATTCTGCCTTATCTGTCCCTTTTCACAGTGAGCGAAGAAACGGAGGTCAACAAGGACAAAAAAACAAGAGGCAAATGTTTCTCGCCCATTCTGCTTCTTAAGCAGAGCTGTGAAAGAAGGGCATTGTTTGTGATGCAATGTCAAGGGACAAATAGCACCTCATGCTTTTCCTCGTGGTGTGCTTTGGAAAAGCAAAACAACAGTAGCAGCAACAACAGCAGCATAATTTCCTCCAACGCCTGAGCTTTATTAAATTGTTTCGGAAGGGAAGCCCTCCCTTTCCAAAGGAAAAGGGAAAGATTTTTCTGTGTCTTCTTGAGTTTTAAAGCACACACTCACACACAAACGGTGCAGTAAATTGATCTGGTGAATTGGGTCTAGAGCAGTGGTTCTCAACCTGTGGGTCAGGACCCCATTTGGGGTCGAACGACCATTTCACGGGGGTCGCCAAACAATGCAGTCCGCCATTTTTTCCCCCTTTTTCCTTAGCTGTGCTACTCCCTTTTATTCTATTGGCTTTTGAAAGCCAATAGAATAGACTCTCTTGAATAGACTCTAATTCTATTGGCTTTCATAAGCCAATAGGAATTGTCCAGGCTGTCTCTGCCCTGCTGAGCCCGCCGAAAGTCCCTTTCTGCAAACGGTGCTGCACCAGTTGAGTAGTCCTCGACTTACGACCGGTTGAGTAGCCCTTGACTTACGACCGGTTTGGGGTTGCGGCATTAAAAAGGTTGAGAACCACTGGTCTAGAGAATATCAGAGAGCCAGTTTGGTGGCATTCTTCAAGGCATCAGGCCAGAAACTGGGTGACTGAGAGTTCTAGTCCCACCTTAGGTACAAAGTCCTCTGGGTGACCTTGGGCCAGTCAGTTTCTCTCAGACCTAGGAAGGAGGCAATGTCAAACCACTTCTGAAAAAGCTTGCCAAGAAAACTGCAGGGACTTGATCTCTAAGGATCAGACATGATTGAATAAAGGGAGAGAGAGAGAGAGAAGGAGAGAATTTCAACCAGCCAGCAAGCTATGCTCTCTTATAGGATCCATTCTATCCCCCATTTCCAAATCTGTCTATTTGTCTGTCTATCTGTCATCCATATCCATCCACTCATTCACCTACCTACCCACCCAGCTACCCACCCATCCATTTATCTAGACATCCATCCATCCAATTGTAACTCATGATAAAATGCTGTAAGACGGAGTATCTTTATTCAGGGAGGCATCCAATCGTGTTTCCTTCTTGGGAAGACCATCCCACTTCTTCTCATTCAACAGTTCTCCTTCTATTTTCTAAAGAGCTTTCTGGACCATGGCTAGATTGGGAAATGGGATCATTTAAGCAATTCATCTCAACACAGGTCTCTAACCTGAAATTATATTTTCATTTCTGCAATGTTCGGAATCCCCCTAAATCTGTTACCTCGTTCCTTTGATTCATGGACGGTGCCATTTAGCTATGTCAAAGTTCATCACTGGGGAAATGAGTCTGTAAATAAAAGGTAGGATGTCCTTGGGTAGAGGAGGAATTCTCATAGGGCAGGAATATGTTGAGTGAGCGACCTCTCTATCTACTGAGGTTTGAGATGCTTCCCGACTCACTTCCTGTTATAGAAACTCTGGCAGCTGCGGAGTGGCGCTCCAGCGAAGGACGTATTCTGGCTTGTTTCTCTGAGAATTAGACATCTGGCTCTTCTGATATACCAGAGGAGAACGTGGTATGTGGCTTACTGATAAACCGTGTCGCTGAGTCATGGCTGGGAGGTCTTTACGGAGATCCCCCTCTGGCTGGTAGCAGGTTGCTCGGCTCACCTCGTCACGACTTCTGGCTTAGCCTGAAAGAAAGACAGGAACAGCAAAGCAGCTTCCCACAAAGGGGGGGTTCAACCATGAAAGATCACCGTCTTCCCTAGAGAGTCCTTGCCCTAAAATATTACCCAGTGCCTCGTTGGGGAAGCCTGCTTGCAAACATACCGTGGTGGAAGGAACTTCTTGGCAGGGATTGGTGGCCAGCTAAAGAGAGAGGATGGCAAGTTGGCTTCGTAATCCCCTAAAGGAACCGGAGATTGAGCTGTTTGTAAAGGTCAGTTCCTCTTCGTTGGAAAGGTAGACTTTGGGGTCAGGTGTCGGGGGCCTTGTGCAGAAGAACAAGCAGGTTGTGGGGCAGAATAACAGAGGACTGGCAGATCCCAACAGCAAATCGTAAACGTAATGTGCATGGTTGTGGGTGGCTAAGACCTTTAAGTATAGAGTCTACAATGATAAAACTATGCTGCTACATTGATAGATTAAATTAAGGTTTCTGGACATTTGGTACTTAAGGAGCTCTATCTTATTAATTATTTGATGAAGGGCTTGGGTGTAGCCATTAAGAAATCTCCTATAAGAACTTGGCCTCTTGCTTGGAGCTGACCAAAAGTTCAAGAGCTCGTTTTGCTCATCAAAATACTTTTGGGGGACATCGACAGATGCTGTGTGAAGACCTCTTGGGATCTCATTGCAATTCATTCTTACTACTGGAGAAAGGTAAAAGTAGCACGGATGAGACGAGGGAGGGAGGATGAAAAACTCCTGTGAGATCTAACCAGAAATGACACTTTATCCTTAAGTGTCCCTGCACTGTTGTGTCATTGTGGTAATCCTGAACTCTGATACAAGAATTTGATCTGAGTTAGAATTCACAAGTAAACTTAACACTGTAGAGATGGAGTTTTCTTTCTCCACGTGTTAACCAACTTATGGGACACCAAAAGTCATTCTCTTTCTAATCCTTTTTAAATTATTCTTCCCTTTCCCTTCTCCCCCTCCCCTTCCAAAACAATTGTGTGCAAGTACCATACTCCGTACACTAATATGGTTCTGATGAAATGAGCTCATATCCATAAAAACTGATGCCACAATAAATTGGGTGGCATTTTAATAACATAGGTTGGCTTCACCTAGAAAAAAATTCCATCCTTACACTTATGTGTCAAGGCATCTTCATTCTTTCTATAGTTGTGGCTCATACCATTCACCTTAAACCCTTTCACAACTTCAGTTGTTTTGGGCTACAACTCCCTTCATCTCCAGCCTCTTCCTTTTTTCTGAATCAGAGTTTTGGGCAATGCTGTGGTTGTAAGTAACCACGGCAAATTTCTATTACTCAAAATCTGGACCGAAATACAATAAGGAGTTTTTGTTTTCCTTAATGGCCAGAGACGGATCTTCCTAGCTTGTCCCCCACAAATCCAAAGAGCAACTGATTTAAAAAACAGATGCAGCTCATCCTGTGGATTTCTGTAGCATACTGGACCAATGTTGCTCAACCATTTGCAACTTGAAGGTGCGTGGGCTTTCCCATCATGCTGGCTGGGGAATTCCGAGAGTTGATAGCCACACATCTTAAAGTTTGTCAAGGTTGAGATACACTCTAGCAGAAGATATTGTTTTCACTTGGTGATTTGGGTGAGCCATAATAATAATAATAATAATAATAATAATAATAATAATAATAATAATAATAATAATAATAAAGTTGGAAGGGACCTTGGAGGTCATCTGGTCCAACCCCCCGCTCAAGCAGGAAACCCTATACCATTTCAGACAAATGGCTGTCCAGTCTCTTCTTAAAAACTTCCAATGTTGGAGCATTCACTGCTTCTGGAGGCAGGTTGTTCCACTGGTTAATTGTTCTAACTGTCAGGAAGTTTCTCCTTAGTTCTAGGTTGCTTCTCTCCTTGATGAGTTTCCATCCATTGCTTCTTGTCCTGCCTTTGGGCGCTTTGGACAATAGCTTGACTAGTCTCCAAAGTGCCCAAATTATGGCCTGTAAACCAGGCTTTAAGCTTTAGCATGTTTGAGTGTTGAGCTGAATGTGACTGAAGTGTTTTTTAAAAAAAGATCCTTCAACAAATAAAGACCTCATGCAACGTGGGAACTGGCTAGGCTTCCTCATGTGTGCATCAGACCAGTCATTCTGCTTTCAGTGTCTTGATTCTCCCATTTGCTACAACTTGGCCCTCGGCTCTAGCTGGTGGACCAATGTTCAGTTCTGCAACAAAAACAGGCTTTTAAATTTTCCTCTACCTCCCAGCTAATGCTCTAAATTGGGACCCTAATCGGGAGAAAAAAATCTCTCTCTTTAATTTAATCTATCAAGTAGGGTTGCACAGGGAAGGAAGAGAAACAGAAATAAGCAACTTGGTGAGAAGTTCTTTCCACATTGTATGTTCAGAGTTTAAAAGAATAACTCACGGAAAAATCTGATTAGTTCAGCCACCACTTCCTTATAAGATCTAATCCAAAGGAATAGAAAAGGAAAAAACAGAGAAAGTCTCCCATGACTCTTAAGGAAAACATTTGTGTTTTCCTTCCACACCTTTCCTTCTGGGGTTTCCCCCCCCCCCTCCTCCTTTGCTGCAACCCAACAACACCAACAATTTGTGTTGTATCCAAGGTTCCCCACCGGGAGGACCTCCTGTGCTCAGCCATCCTTTATCTCATTTCCTGAACAACTCACAATCGCAAACTCCAAAGTTGAAGAGGGCTACAACAGGCTGGCAAGCTGCATTGGGAGTTTTCAGTATTGCTTTCACCCCTGATCCAGCCCGCACCTAAGGAAACGGAAATCATGTGCTATTTGCTTTGAAAACAGAACAAAACAACCACACTTGCTTTCAGTTAGGAAGGCCCTTTTCAAGCAGCAGGGATTGGCCTGAAGCAGGACCGGTTCTGAGCGCCAAAGATTTGAGGCCTTTGAACTATGGTGCTGGAGAAGACTCCTGCGAGTCCCTTGGACTGCAAGGCGTTCAAACCGGTCAGTCCTAGAGGAGATCAACCCCGACTGCTCTTTAGAAGGCCAGATCCTGAAGTTGAAACTCAAGTACTTTGGCCACCGAATGAGAAGGAAGGACTCACTGGAGAAGAGCCTAATGCTGGGAAAGATGGAGGGCAAGAGAAGAAGGGGACGACAGAGAAGGAGGTGGCTGGATGGAGTCACTGAAGCAGTAGATGTGAGCTTAAATGGACTCCAGAAGATGGTAGAGGACAGGAAGACCTGGAGGAATGTTGTCCATGGGGTCGCGATGGGTCGGACACAACTTCACAATTAACAACAACAACAAGGACCGGTTCGACCTTAGGAAAGAGCCCAAAGGGGGTTTTCCAAAAGGCAACTAGATTTTCTTGGTTATGTCCTTGAAAACATTTCGCTTCTCATCTAGATCTGAAAAAAAAAACTTCTTAGATGAGAAGCGAAAGGTTCTCAAGAAGAAGAAGAAGAACCCCCAAGAAAGTCCAAGTTGCCTTTTGAAAAGCACCTTTGGGACAACCGTGTCCTGAGTGACAGAGAATCTCCATAGGGTTCTGAAGAAGCAAGAGAAAGTGAGAAGCTCCTAATCTAGATCTCTCCTTCAAAGGGACAAATCTAAATCTACATTTTGGGTTCTCTCGAGTGAGCGAGAAGCCCTGTGAAATGCTTCTGTTGTGAAGAATGCAACCTTCATTTCTCCTCCATTGATCTTCGCTGTTCCACTTCTGGTGCTGTGGGGTTATTGGGAAGGTCATTTGAATTGTTGGGGTGGGGACTATCACACAATAGTTGTCCTGTTTAGAGGGGAAGGGTTTCCTGACTCATACAATGGCTTCCATCATGGGTGTGGCCATCAGGAATCAGGAGACTGACAAGGTTGCTTCTTACTCCTTTTTATTACTACTTATGAGTAATTCCTGCTCCCAGTTGTATCTGCCTCTTGTTTCTGGGTAGTGGGTGGACGGAGGGGTCCTTGGCCCTTGGTAGGTGCTTTCTTGCAGATATTTCATTACCCAAACTAGGTAACATCATCAGTGCTAGTCTCGTCTGGTCTCGTCTCATGTCGTAAATGCAAGACCTAGAAAGGGGGAATTTATTAAGTTAAATTTAGAAAGATTAAAAACTTTAATAAAAACATAAATTTATACAGTTCTAGTCCAATGCTGGACCACCGTGATGGCAGGGATATTCCCGATCAGCAAGCCATTCTTGTGTGCATATCGTCCCAGGGGACAAGATGGATAATTCTTTGAATAGTGCCACATTCACAGTAAATATCCTTGTCCTCTGGAAGAAACTCTTATTTTCCATGTGGTCTTTCGTTTAGCCAAACCAGTGCACCGTCTATTTAAATATCTCTAAACCATCTACTTCACCTTGGAGCCTCCAGGCAAGTCCACATTGCCATAGTTTTTACTCCTGGAACCCAGAAGCAGGGTCAAGGCAGACCCTGGACATTTTTACTGCAACCATCCCAAAAATGCAGCAATAAAGCAGATAACAGTAATAGTAATAGTAGTAAAGTTGGAAGGGACCTTGGAGGTCATCTAGTCCAACCCCCTGCTCAGGCAGGAAACCCTATACCATTTCGGACAAATGGCTGTCCAGTCTCTTCTTAAAAACTTCCAGTGTTGGAGCATTTACTGCTTCTGGAGGCAAGCTGTTCCACTGATTAATTGTTCTCACTGTCAGGAAGTTTCTCCTTAGTTCTAGGTTGCTTCTCTCCTTGATGAATTTCCACCCGTTGCTTCTTGTCCTGCCTTCAGATGCTTTGGAAAATAGCTTGATTCTCTCTTCTTTATGGCAGCCCCTGAGATATTGGAATACTGCTATCATGTCCCCCCTTGTCCTTCTCTTCACTAAACTAGACATACCCAATTCCAGCAACCGTTCCTTATATGTTTTAGCCTCCAGTCCCCTAATCATCTTTGTTGCTCTTCTCTGTACTCTTTCTAGAGTCTCAACATCTTTTTTACATCGTGGTGACCAAAACTGGATGCAGTATTCCAAGTGTGGCCTTACCAAGGCATTGAAGAGGATGCCCTCTTCACTAATAGAGAGGATGGCCCTGAAGTAGAGAGGAAAGATCCATTATCAAGGCAACAAGCCTGGCTTAAACCCATATGATGAAAGAGATTTATGAAAGTATCTAAGACAGATGCCCACTTAATGAAGATAAAAGTGGGAGGAGAGGACAAACATCCAGACTCGGAAGAGTCTGTTACTCTGGCTATTCTAATAAATGCAATAATGTAGCTTTAGAGGTACAAGGTGCTCATTTCTCAACCTGGTCTACCTAGAGAGGCTGACAGCATGAGCACTTCCAGCATCAGGAAAGCTGGACAATTTGGGTCCAATCTACTTGCTTGTCATGGGGAAAGTGTCACTCAGAACAAATACGTCGCTTTTTTATTTTGCTTTGTTGTTGTTGTTTTTTTCCTATGGCAGGCTGGCTTGGATGGACAGAACATCGGAAACTGCCCGTTCTGTCAAAGCCTCTTTATGGTGTTGTGGCTCAAAGGTGTCAGATTTAATGTCACCACTGTGGATATGACAAGGTGAGAGAGACGAAAAGGCATTCGCCTTTCACTGCAAACACACCTAAGGTCTTGTACTGAAACCATACGAGAATCGGAAAATGACTTATTGAATTCTTTATCGGCCAAGTGGGATTGGACACACAAGGAATTTGTCTTCAGCACGTAAGCGCTCAGTGTACATTAAAAAAAAACCCGCAAAGTGATAAGTCACAGATCACAAATCATAAGATACGATCATAAATCATAAGATACAAACGACTGATCAATCATAAGATACCAATAGTAGAGGGTAGTTGGAAAGAGGAGAGATGGGAAAGAGGAGAAGATGACAAGGATAACAGCGACACAGCCTACTACCTGGTTGAATATTATTAGTGGGAGTGTGCACTTGTATCAAATCCTGAAATATATACCAAGAAAAAAATCTGGACAAAAATGGCTAGGTTTGTGAAAAGATAGTTAAAAGAGGCAGCGTATCTGGGAGGAAAAGCTCCATTGCAGACATATTTAACAGAATAACAGAACAGAATAACAGAGTCAGAAGGGACTTTTAAGGTCTTCTAGTCCAACCCCCTGCTCAAGCAGGAAACCCTAGACCATTTCAGACAAATGATGGTCTAATCTCTTCTTGAAAACCTCCAGTGATGAGGGAGGGATGGAGGGAAGGAGGGAGGGAGGGAAGGAAGGAAGGAAGGAAGGAAGGAAGGAAGGAAGGAAGGAAGGAAGGGAGGGAGGAAGGATAGCAGACTAACAGAATCAGAAGGGACTTTGAAGGTCTTCTAGTCCAACCTCTTGCTCAGGCAGGAAACCCTATGCCATTTCAGACAAATGGTTGTACAAGTGTCCACCAAAACATAGGCAAATGTAGATATTTTTCAAGATCAGCAAAGTGAAATTGACATCTCTGTCTACCCTTGCAGGTGGATCTCTAGGCAATCTTAGGAGTTGAATGAAGAATGAACTAAAAAAGAAGAAGGGGGTGGTAGTAAGGTGGGGAGATAAAACCAAGGTCAGGAGCATCGTTATTTATTTTTTCTTTCTTCCTCTCTGTTGTAATTTCCATTTAGGAAACCTGATGAGCTGAAGGATTTGGCTCCAGGCACCAACCCTCCATTTTTAGTGTTCAACAAGGAGTTGAAAACAGATTTTCTGAAGATTGAGGATTTCCTGGAGCAGACCCTCTCGCCACCTAAGTATCTTCTTTTCCAATTTCCAATGTCCATTCCGTTTCTTACTCCATGCTACAAATTTATTTGCAAAGAATGCCTCTGCTCTGTCTTTTTCACCCTACTTCAGATGTGCATTCTTGGCAGACTCTATTGTGGAGGGGAAAAAAAGGTTTTTGGGGGATTTTGATGTTCAAAGTCATGTTCCAAACAAGGCTAAATCTAAATACAGAATAATAGAGAGTTGGAAGGGACCTTGGAGGTCATCTAGTCCAACCCTCTGCTCAAGCAGGAGACCCTCTATCATTTTGGACAAATGGTTGTCCAATCTCTTCTTAGAAACCTCCAGTGATGGAGCACCCACAACTTCTGGAGGCCAGCTGTTCCATTGGTTAATTGTTCTCCCTGCTAGGAAGTTTCTCCTTAATTCTTGGTTGCTTCTCTCCTTGATTAGTTTCCATCCATTGTTTCTTGTCTTCTGGTGCTTTGCAAAATAAATTGACTCCCTCTTCTCTGTGGTAGCCCTTCCAATATTGGAACACTGCTATCATGTCACCCAATAGTCCTTCCTTTCTCTAGACTAGCCGTACCCAATTCCTGCAACCGTTCTTCGTATGTTTTAGCCTCCAGGTCCTTAATTATCTTAGTTGCTCTTCTCTGCACTTTTTCCAAAGTCTCAGCATAAGGTTGGGCACATTCACCGGTCTGCTTTGCTCAGTGTTATTTAACCTTGATTAGTTTCCATCCATTGTTTCTTGTCTTCTGGTGCTTTGGAAAATAAATTGACCCCCTCTTCTCTGTGGTAGCCCCTCCAATATTGGAACACTGCTATCATGTCACCCCATAGTCCTTCCTTTCTCTAGACTAGCCGTACCCAATTCCTGCAACCGTTCTTCGTATGTTTTAGCCTCCAGGTCCTTAATTATCTTAGTTGCTCTTCTCTGCACTTTTTCCAAAGTCTCAGCATAAGGTTGGGCACATTCACAAGTCTGCTTTGCTCAGTGTTTTTTAACCTCTGCCTGGAAATTTGGCCATCGGAGCCCTGCTTAACACTGAAGGACCGAAAAGACAAAGAGGCAGAGGTGACCTCAGGCAGAGAGGCTGCGATCCGATGTTCCCGATGAGAGAGGGACAGCTTGCAAGAGCCATCTGTTTCCCACCAGGATCGGGGAGGAAATGGGGTGGCCAGAGAGAGGAAAAACAAGGCAGGGAAGTTGACTATCGGACAGAGGACACATGGGAGGGCTCTAGGGGAAAGGGAAAGCTGGCCGAGCTTTCTTGCAAGGAGGCCCAAAGGCTGCAAGAATGGGCACCTTTGTGGTTAGGTGGGTGGTTTGGTGTTTCTTGGCAGAGCCACGGAGGCAGGGATGTTCCAGAAAAGTCCCGTCCCTCCCTCTCTCTTTGAAGGATTGAAAACTAGCCAGGGAGCCAAAAGAAACGCTCGGCTCCAAAGGTTTGGAGGCAGCCAAGATGTGCTCATTGTTGGCAACCAGTGTCTGAATTGTCTGACTGCAGCTGCAGTAAACAGGAGGCTCTTTAAAGGACAAGAGCCCCAAAGGAGAGCATTCCTTGCAGTGTGTCACATGGCTGTGTGTGTGTGTGTGTGAGAGAGAGAGAGAGAGAGAAAGAGAGAGAGGGAGGGAGACAGAAAGAGAGAGAGACAGAGAGAGGGAGGGAGGGAAAGAGAGACAGAGGAAGGGAGGGAGGGTGAGAGAGGGAGGAAGAGAGAGGGAGGGAGAGAGAAAGAGAGGGAGAGAGAGAGAAAGAGAGGGAGAGAGGGAGGGAAAGAGGGAAAGAGAGAGAGGAAGGGAAGGCGAGGGAGAGGGAGGGAGGGAGAGAGAGATAGAGAAAGAGAGGGAGAGAGAGAGAAAGAGAGGGAGAGAGGAAGGGAGGGAGGGAAAGAGAGACAGAGGAAGGGAGGGAGAGGGGGAGAGAGGGAGGGAGAGAGGGAGAGAGAGAGAGAGACATAATCTGCCTTTTCTAAAGGAACAGGCAGTTCATGCCCGCCCCCTCTCTCATACACATACACACACAAACACACACACATACACACAATCACAGGAACTGCAGTCAATGAAATAGGATTGTAATAATGCGTGCCCTTCCAACGTCTCGGACTACAAAACTCATAAAACTCAGGGCCACATATAAATTTAATACATAAACAATGGTGGGAACCCATTTGACAAGGGACCAGAGTGGGGAAACTGCCCTAGATTGTACCAGGAGAATCTTGTTCTTTTCAATGCTCTCAGCTTCTCAGTTACATTAGGGAAGCTCACCCGGAAGGCACTAAAAGGTCCAGAGGCAAATGGAAGGACATGGAAGTAGATGACATGCTAATGTTGCTCTCTAGTGGCTGAAATTTTTAATTTCTTGTAATTTACCTATCTCTTTTCTGCTTAGCCTGAACCCTGAACACCTCCATCTATCTCCTTCTATTCCCAGATGCAGAAGACCTGCAACCTTTAAAAATTCCCAATGCTCATAAGGAGATTTTAAGTGATGCTCTTTTCCATCCAGTCTACAGTAGTTCTCTTACTTTGCAATGGTAGAGAGAGAATGTTCTTATTTCCAGTTGGAATACTGCATCCAGTTTTGGTCACCATGATGTAAAAAAGATATTGAGACTCTAAAAAGAGTACAGAGAAGAGCAACAAAGAGGATTAGGGGACTGGAGGCTAAAGCATATAAGGAACGGCTGCTGGAATTGGGTATGTCCAGTTTAACGAAGAGAAGGGCGAGGGGGACATGATAGCAGCCTTCCAACATCTCAGGGACTGCCCCAAAGAAGAGGGAGTCAAGCTATTTTCCAAAGCGCCTGAAGGCAGGACAAGAAGCAACAGATGGAAACTAATCAAGGAGAGAAGCAACCTGGAACTGAGGAGAAACTTCCAGACAGTTAGAACAATTAACCAGTGGAACAACCTGCCTCCAGAAGCTGTGAATGCTCCAACACTGGAAGTTTTTAAGAAGAGACTGGACAGCCATTTGTCTGAAATGTATAGGGTTTCCTGCCTGAGCAGGGGGTTGGACTAGATGACCTCCAAGGTCCCTTCCAACTATTATGTTTTATTCATTAGACATGAAACTCAGTCAACTGAACATTCAAATTGGCTGGTGCTGATGGTTGACATGGGTTGCTACCAGCATCCTTCCAACTATTATTATTATTGTTGTTGTTATTGTTATTATTTAGGGCTCTGATTATTCAGATTTTTGATCTCCGGTGTATCATCGTAACCCTGCTTTAAAAATCTTGTCTCACTGTTCTTCAGAGATTGATTTCTAAAAACGGTGATTTTGAAGCAAAGGTGTTGTGTTATTCCTTGGCGTGGTAGAAAATTAACTTCGCATTTCTTGTTAATAAGGTACCCACAGCTCACTCCCCGAAACAAGGAGTCCATGGATGTGGGCAGAAACATTTTTGCCAAATTCTCCACGTACATCAAGAACCCCCATAAAGAAGCAAATAAAAGTAAGGAAGAGGGAAAAACATACGCATGTTTTTCTTGTGATCATAAAATTGGGCACAACTCACTTAACAACCCCACTGTGGTCATAAATCAAGGACTACCTATAACCCACTAGAAGTGAAAGATGGTTCATTGTTTTTTCTTGTGCTTCAGATCTGGAAAGAGCTTTGCTGAAAGAGTTCCATCGCTTGGATGATTACTTAAGAAACCCACTGCCTGAAGAAACTGACCAGAATTGTGCTAAAGATCTTCTGATTTCCGAAAGGAAATTCTTGGACGGAAACCAGATGACGTTAGCAGACTGCAACCTTCTCCCCAAACTCAACATCATCAAGGTGAATGCTTCTCGCTCTTTGATGGCCTTCATCTCCGTTTCTCAGATGGGTTTCAACCCCGTGAGTCCCGTTTTCCTTTCTCATCCAGATTTGTGGTGAAGGAGTTTGATATTGAATTAGAACAACCAAAACCTTTGAGTTTCAGTCTCTTCCGTCTCTACTTTATGGTTCCCACCCCCGCTTTTTTTTGAAAAAAGAAATAAATGAAAAACATATATCTGAATAGCAAATAAACTTATATACATATACTCCCTTTTTATGACCCTGTAATCCAGTGGTTCTCAACCTTTTTAATGCCGCGACCCCCAACCGGTTGTAAGTCGAGGACTACTCAACCAGTCGTAAGTCAAGGATATTCAATTGGTGCAGCACCATTTGCAGAATGGGACTTTTGGCGGGCTCAGCAGGGCAGAGACAGCCTGGACAATTCCTATTGGCTTTGAAAGCCAATAGAATTAGACTCTATTCAAGAGAGTCTATTCTATTGGCTTTCAAAAGCCAATAGAATAAAAGGGAGTAGCACAGCTAAGGAAAAGGGGGAAAAAATGGCGGACTGCATTGTTTGGCGACCCCCATGAAATGGTTGTTTGACCCCAAATGGGGTCCTGACCCACAGGTTGAGAACCACTGCTGTAATCCCTTACAGGGTAAAGTCAGGGCGACTGGATCTGGATCCAAAAGAACCAATTGCTTGGGCGTCCAGTCGCTACCCTGGCACTCGACCAAACAGAGTGATCTGCTCATTTTCTCATCGACATCTTTTACATCATTGGTTCTCCCCAATTTCTAGGTTGCCGCCAAGAGGTATCGCAACTTTGAAATCCCTCTGGAGATGACTGCACTATGGCGCTATCTCCACCAAGCTTATGCCCGGAATGAGTTCAGCCACACTTGTCCAGCTGACGAGGAGATCGAACGCACCTACGCCAGCGTGGCTAAGAAGATGAGCTAAAGACCAAGATCTGGAAGTTGGTGCCTGCAAAGGTCTACCAGGGAATTGGGTGTGCAGTATTGACCCCAAACTGAATAGTCTTCACATACTAGCCTTTTAAAAAAAAAATCCTTATATTTTTAAGGGGAGAATAATTGTACTCGTCTTTGTCTGCCATACCTTTTGTTCTTGAGTTGACCATATTTGAGAGATTCTTCTCTTGGAGTTTCTTCACCTGCATGTACTCCTTTTCATGGAGCAAAGGTAACTAAATCTGACCCTCAATGTTCTCGTTTCTGCTAAGAGATTCCAGGTCAACAAGACATTTCTTCAAGACTTCCAGAAATATGAACCGTCAACTGATAAAACACTGCCCTGTTGAAGATGATTATGTGTCTCTGTGCAGGGAAGGATATTTTTTTTCATCCAGGTTCCTAGGTTGGTTCTAGGTTGGGGTTTATAAATAGCCTGAGTGCCATCCTTGCAGTTTCTTCTCTTGAACACCAAAGGTGCCCCTTTCTGGTTGATCAGAAGCAGCTCTGGAAAACATCTGCACATGCTGCAATTGAGCAGATCCTGTCCTGTTGAGGATCCTTGTCCTTCTCTTGGGTGGGTTGAAGCAAGCAGTGAGGGAGGTAGGATTACATCGTCTCTTGCTGCCTTGCTCTTCCTGCCCTTTCTTGTTTTCGTGCTGATCCGCAGCCTGCAGCTAGAGAAGACTCAGATAGCTCATTTCACAGGTCTCAAGTGACTTGCTGGGAGAGAACTCTTAAAATTGGGGCAAGGGCACACGCTGGGGCTGTAGGTTCTCCACCTCTGCTTGAAGTCTTTTGGGTGGTTGGCCGGTGTCAATGTTCTCTGCTCTTAGCAGGAAGAGCTGCTAAAAGTAAACAGAGTGCAACTGTGGTGTAACCCTTCTTCCTTAGCTGGGCAGAGGAGTGGGTGGGGTTTGCCTGCCTTAAACTTGTGAAAATATATTGGCAGGGCAGCTATGTAGGCTTGAAAAGGAAACCAAGAGCTGGGAAAGCAGGCAGGCAGGAAACAGCAAGTTATTCTTCTTCTTGTGCCATATCCGTTATCGGCGATCATGTTGGCGATCCCGTTTTTATCAGCAGCTGCACGAAAAAGTGCTGCTGAGTTTTGTCCAAACCAGTCCCTTAGATTTTAAAGCCATGAAAACCATCAAAATCTAAACAGCAAGTAGCAGATCTCAAACCTGGAAACTGACACCCATAAGATCAAACCCAGTTAGCTCTAAGCTTCCTCACTTCACTCTTATAAATTCAGGACTTGCTGGCTCTGCTCAGCGCTGCAGAGGTCTTAAGAGTGGAGCCAAGTCTTCAGATCAGTTATTGCAATCGGACAAAACTGTCTTTGATGGCTTGTGTTTGTTTGGTTTTTTTTTTCAAGATTTAAGAGTGTAGAGCATTTAATCTTGGGACATGACCTTGAAGGATTTGGTGGGAAAAGGAACAAGGACCCAGATGGGTTAGACAGTGGTACAGAGTAATTGATATATATAACTTTTTCTTTCTTTCTTTCTTTCTTTCTTTCTTTCTTTCTTTCTTTCTTTCTTTCTTTCTTTCTTTCTTTCTTCTTCTTCTTCCTCCTCCTCCTCTTCCTCTTCCTCCTCTTCCTCTTCCTCTTCCTCTTCCTCTTCCTCTTCTTCTTCTTCTTCTTCTTCTTCTTCTTCTTCTTCTTCTTCTTCTTCTTCTTCTTCTTCTTCTTCTTCTTCTTCTTCTAAAAAAAGGGTGTTCATTTCTTCTTTTCCCTTTCAACTCCATGAAAGCTATTCTAGGGCTTGTAGGGATGTTTCGTCCCTAATGGTCAGCAGCTGGATCCTTGAAATCCAGAGATGTGGATATTCCTGGGGGCAATGTTGTAAAAGGGATACAGGCTCACTGGCACTCAGGATCAGCAAATAGCCCAACCTAGTTTTAAATACAGGTAGTCTTCATTTAGTGACCACAATTGGGACCAGCAATTTGGTCGTTAAGCGAGGAAGTTGTTGATTGACACTGTGATGTATGTATGATCTTACTTCAGCTTTCCTTTGCTTTACAAACCTGTGAACGTCACAGACGCAAGGATTGGTCGCAAGGTTACTTTTTCATCGAGGTCATAACTTCAAGCTCAGTCACTAAATGAGGCAGTTATTAAACGAGTGCTACCTCTAATAGAGGACACTGACACCCTCCGATGGAGGTGGAAACAGATCTGTGTATGACTGGGGTGACTGACTGCAAGACGTCCATAAACCTAGTTTGTACATTATCCTAAACCTAAACCATAATAGGGTATGCTTGTTTTTATCTCAGCATGACATGCAAGTCAATGTGGTTTATTTAACAAGCTTTGTTTAAAAAAAAAAAAATACTGGCTTCGCTTTACATGCCAGTCAAGCCGTGGCTTGTCTGGTTAGAACTTTAGGGAACTGTTATAATCCTGTTTACCGTTTTGTACCATTTTCAAGCTCCTTGCAATCAAGGCTTTGCCTTGGGACCTCTCTTGGGGGTGGGGTGGGTGAGGGGAACAAGTGTTTTGCAAGTTAAAGTTGTCCACCATATAAATAGGTAACGTAACAAGATACTATAGATCAGGGTGCCCAACCCTGGCAACTTTAAGACTTGTGGACTTCAACTTCCAAAATTCCCCAGCCAGCTTGCTTGTCCACAAGTCTTAAAGTTGCCAAGCTTGGACACCCCCTGCTGTAGATAAATAAGAATTGTCTTTGCAAAGCAAAGAGACAGATATTCATAAAGTCCTGGGAAACTGATAGGATTGAAGAGGGAAAGGCTTCGTTGAATCTAAGTCAGTGATGGCGAACCTTTTAGAGACTGAGTGCCCAAACTGCAACCCAAAACCCACTTATGCATCATTGGGTGCCGGGTGGGCGTGGCCCATTGGGTGGGTGTGGCCCATTGGGTGGGCGTGGCTGCAGTTGTAATGGAAGACTGGGTGGGACTAAAAAGTTCAATCAATCAATTCCAACTTTGCAAGGTCTTTTTTTTTCCCGCAAGAAATTGACTGATTGGACCTTTTTTTTTTTTGTACACGGCGGCGGAGGCCTAAAGCGAAAAGTTTTTATAAAACCCAGCTGAAGGCCTAGGACTGGGGCTACGGCACACGTGCCCACAGAGAGGGCTCTGAGTGCCGTCTCTGGCACCCGGGCCACAGGTTCACCACCACTGACCTAAGTCATCTCTCTGAGTTCCTTATGCAAGACACGCATTAGCAGTCACAAAACACTAAGCCACACTATCTCAAAGAGCTTTTCAATTTCCTTTGTGGCAACAAGGAAAGGAACATCCTGGCCTTCCCCCCCCCCCAATATAGATGTGCCTGTTTACTTTGTATTTCTGTAATGATAATAAACTTTATTTTATATACAACCTCACTGCTGACTTAGATGTTATATATCAGACATGTCAAACACAAGGCTCGGGGGCCGGATGCGGCCCGTGAAGTGGTTTCATGTGGCCTGTGAAGCCATCCTGGAAACAGTGAGGGAACGGCCCCCACTGCCTTGGCCCTGGCCCAGGCCGGCCGGGAGCCAATGTACAATTTTGTGGTGGCCATCTATGCTGAAATGCATTCAGTCTTAGCTCCACAAGGCCATCTGGAAACAGCGAGGAACCAGCCCCTGCCGCGTTAGCCCCGCCCTCTGGGTGCATGCTGGGGAGGTGTCATCCTTTGTGAGGAATGAAGAAATGGACCATGCCTTGGCGCTTGGCCTGGTCCCATCCCCTTCTGCCAGAGACTCTCAGATCTGTCCCACTCCTGCCCAGGCCCCCACAGTCACCCTTGATGCGAACGATGTAGAGCTGGCCATGCCTACCCAGTAGGCCACACCCACTCCATCCATGCCCACTAAGTAGGCCGCATTCACCCGGCCCCCAGAGGTCAACTGCAATGCTGATGTGGCCCTCAATGAAATTGAATTTGACACCCCTGTTATATATGATAACTACTGATATGTAAAGTAAACAGGCGGGTTCAAAGTGTTCCTTCCATCAAAGAAAAAAACTCAGCTAAAAGGTAGCCAGTTTGGAAGATATTAAGGCCACACATTGCATGCAAAAATGCAGAGATCCAACGGAAAAGATCTTCCAGAAATAATGTCCCAACGGTGCTTTTTTAAAAGTCAAGTTTTTGCTTCTCATCCAGGAAGCTTCCTCGGTTCTGGCTGAATGGTGGGGAACGGAAAGATTTATATTCCTTTGCAGTCATCTGGTCATTAGTACTCTCTGTGAGTGATGACTGCAGGGAATATAAATCCTTTCATTCTCCACCATTCAGTCAGAACTGAAGAAGCTTCTTGGATGAAAAGGAAAACGTCTTCAAGGAAAAACAAACGAAGTCCAGTTGCCTTTTGAAAAAGCACCTTTGGGACAACCATGATCTGAATGACTGAGAATTTCCATAAGACTTCCAGAAATAATGGAACCCTTTTAAAGCTCACTATTATAGAAATTGCTTAAGATTGGATGCAAATGGGATTTGATATCGCAAACCAAAATAAGACGGTAAGCCAGCCTTTCCCCTACAATGCCACTTCATTCTGAGTAGTTTTCATCTGATAAAAGAACTCAGGCTAAGCCACCCCACCCAATATTTACAAAACCAGTAAAACAGGAAGGAGCACAAGGCTAGCAATATTCTTCCAGCTTATTGAGCATCATAAATCTGTCAGAAAGGCTGTTGAACTTTGCTTTCTTCCTCCTTGCCCCAAAAGCAAAATTAAATCTTATCTCCTGCGGTTCATGAGAAGGATGTGTCAGCCTGCAGTTTCAAGTATGACTTATTAAAAAATGAATAGCTAAAGTTTCAGGAGAAGAGCCCTGATAGACTGTGGTAGCCACAAATCAGAAGGTCTCCGGTAACATCTTTTCAGAAGAATAAAATTCATTGAAAGCATAAACTTTCACGAACTATGACTCACTTCATCCAATGTGGAGGATCTACCGGCTTCGTCAGATGCGTGGAGCTTTTGCAGTTGACGAAATGAGCGGTAGGATCTTTTTAAATCAAATCTGTATATCTGAAAAGATGCTACCTGGAGCCAGCGGTGTGCTGCAGCTGCCAAAAAAGCCAACATAGTTCTAGGCTGCTTTAACAGAGGAATAGAATCAAGATCACCTGAAGTGTTAATACCACTTTATAAGTGTGGTAAGGTCACACTTGGAATACAGCATCCAGTATTGATCGCCACGATGTAAAAAAAAAAGATGTAGAGACTCTAGAAAGAGTGCAGAGAAGAGCAACGCAGATGTTCAGGGGACTGGAGGCCAAAACAAATAAAGAACGGTTGCTGG